TATGAGGTCAAGGTCCAACCCCAAGTGTACAACTTGCAGCAGCTGCATTACTTCCGAAGGAACTTGAAATTGGTTTTGCTTAGTGACACTGCTTCATCGAGATGATCAAAAAGCATTCTGCACTCACTGAGAAATTAGTCGAAGAAGCAACAAGCTAGCTGCAAATGACCCACCATGTTCCTTTCTTTCTTTTATTGTTCCATTCCTTGGGCTTACTATCAATCAGCCCACAACTGATTTTCAGTAACCCTAATGTCCTGCATCTAATTGATTTAATAATTCGTTGAGTCTGTTATTTAATGTTAATTACATATAAAAATATTATTTTAGCAAGACATCTGCATGAAACAAGAAAGCCGGATAGGGATAAGTTTTCTCCATCCTCTTTAACAATGTCAAAATAAATCATTAGTTGTCAACCCTATAGGCTTTTGATGCTACACATCTCCAATCATTTCATCAATAGTTGTTTAGATTAATATTTTTTTTGGAAAATTGATTGCATGAAAGGTAAAGAAAGGTCCAAAAATATCAACCTAAAAACAAAAAGATAAGGACAAAGGGTTCAAAAAATAATTTGGAATAAGTCCAACAATTGGGAACAGACAGGTGTGGGATGCCGCCATGACCAAACGAAGACATTTTTGGAAGCCGACTTCAAGTCAATTCCAAAAGAAAATAATGAACAATCTGTCTTTGTCATTTGATTTCAACATCCCAAATTATGGGTCTATTTTTTTTTTTAATTCCTTTTCAACCCATTTTGTGGAGATTCGACAATGCTCATATTGCAAAAATAAAATATTTCATAGTTAAAAAGATTTTGGTGACACAAATTATTGAAAATTCTAATATATGATGCCATTTATATTTATAATGGTAGAGTTGGGTTCCAATTTTTTTTTTCTTTTTGGTGAAAGGCAAGAGTCTTAAACAAGACTTTTTAAGGTTATGTTAGGAACTCCAATTTGGATTATAAATATTTTGTTTTATAATTCATAATTTCAAGATTTTAAACTTTGAGAAGGTGAGAGTGGGAGTTATAATTGAATTGAATTTGACAAATACCTATCTTAAAAAGAGTAATTTGAAATCCTAAAAAGCATTTTTTTTAAAATCCCTTTTGTAATTTCACCTAAATCCAAATATATATATTTTTTCAAAATTATTGTCAAATAATGTATTTGGACTTTAGAATCCAAATTCCAACTTGGAATCAAAAGTGTGAATTTTGTAGATTTTCAGTTTAAATTATTTGGAATATTTATCTAATAATTAAATTTAATATATTGATAAAATTAAATGAGTAGATTATAATATGTAAAAAAAAATCACAAAAAATTTATATAGAAAACTTAATTTTTCAACCCGTTAAAAGTGAGAGGACGAAAATTAAAAAAATTGAAACTTGATTAATAGATTCTCTTTTTATAAAATTTATTCATAAATTTCTAATTGCTACTCACTTTTCAATATAAAAAAAACCCAAAATTTTTTAAATAAAAAACACTAGAAATTCGATCTTTAAAAGCTTATTTTCATCTTTTATCAAATACAAAATTGTTGTTATTGAATTTGTATTTGTAATTTTGTATGCATACACATATATGTATTTTTCTTTTTGTAATGTATTTGTAATTTGTAAAATTACAATAATAGAGTAAAATAGTCATTTAATAAATCATATAGTTACAAAGTCTGCTAATAAAAAGTATCTCTGGCAAAAGAATACAAATAAAACCACAAAAAGTGAAAGTGGGTAATGAAAAAAATTCTATTTTGAGCTTAGAAACTTCAAATCAAAGCCCTTCCATTCCCAAAATTATTAGATATTGATTTTTTGATAATTCCGTACACATCTCCATCTCTGTCTATCTTTCTCCATCGCTATGTGTCTCTCCAATTGCGGTTTGCCCTTTCTTTATCCAATTAGAATTAACTCATTCTACTCTATCAACTCCCTCTTCTTTGTTTCCCCTTCTCCTCCCCTTATCCAATTAGAATTAACTCATTCAATTCTATTAACTCAAGTTGCATACATTTTATGGCATTAAATATAATAAAAAGAAATTTTTTAAAAAATTTTTAAAGTTTATTTAGAGTAATATGGGTAACAATTTTTTTAAAATTTTTTAAAATTTATTTAGAGTAACATATTTTTTTATTTTCATTCTATTTTATGATTTTAAACTAAGGAATGAAATACCCAACTAAGAAAAAAAAAACTGTCTAGCAAGAGAAAAAAAATAAGAAAAAAAAACAAGAAGTAAAAAAAATGGAAGGAGGGAGGGAGGGGCACGAAAATATTAAAATCTTGGAAATTGAGTGAGAAGAAAAAAAGAAAAAAAAAATCGGTTAGATCATTTTATTAAAATTAAAAAAATATCTAAATCATGTATGAGGATTACTATAAGATATTCAAATCATGTATGAAGAATGACTGTGAGATACCAGTGATATGTTGTTAAAAAGCATAACAAAAAAATACCAAAATTTTAAAAGCAGATAGACATATGTTTTCCATTTAATAGATAATAACACATCAAAAGGCACAAATTAAAAGATAAAAAATGACTAAAATACTATTTGCACGTGAGAATCATTATACTTTATAATTTAGATATGCATGAAACAATTAAAAAGGATAAGAGCAATCTTTGTATTCCATCTTCTTTTAACAATGTTAAAATAAATCCTAAAAAATTGTCAACCCAACAGTGTATGATGCTACATATTTCCAATCATTTCTTCAATGGTAGGATTGAATATTTTGATTGGAAAATTGATTGCATAGAAGGGAAAGAAAAGGTCCAGAAATATCAACTCCACAACAAAAAGATAAGGACAAATGGTTCAAAAAATAATCTGGAATAAGTCCAATAATTGGGGACTGACAGGCATGGGATGCCCCATGACCAAACCAAGACATTTTTGGGAGCCGATTTCAAGTCAGTTCCAAAAGAAAATAATGAACAATCTGTCTTTGTCATTTGATTTCAACATCCCAAATTATGGGTCTACGTTTCTTTTTTTTTTAAATTCCTTTTCAACCCATTTTGTGGAGACTCGAGAATGCTCATATTGCAAAAATTAAATATTTCATAGTAAATTATTGAAAATTCCAATATATGATGTCATTTATACTTATAATGATAGAGTTGGGTTTCAATTCATTTTTCTTTTGGGTAAATTCTACATGCATTTTTAATGATATGATATTTTCTCAAATAACACTTTAAGGTTTTTTTTTTTTCACATAAGACCTTGTAATTTACTTTTGTTTCCAAAATATTTAATGTTATTAAATTTCCAATTAATTTTTTGTATAAAAACAACAAAAACCTTTTTTTTTATAATTCTTTTTTTTGTTTAATTAAAGAAAAATTTTGAGTGTTTTTTTAGATTTCTTGTATGACTTTTATCTCACTTTCTCTCCTTGGTCATTTTTTTTTTAATTTTTGGGTAGTTGTATGTATATTAATTTGTTTTTTTATTTATAATCCTTAATTTAGCTCTTCACATCGTATAGCAGTAGTTGGGATCAAAGTTTGATTTTAACAATGACAAATTGACAATCAATTGGACTCTTTTAAACTTGAATATTAAGCTATTCTATCTATGCCTATATAGCTGATTAAGAAAGGTATTGCTTATGTGATAGCACTGGTAATTACACTACTAGGAGCATCTGTGGGCACTGGTAATTACATTAATATGGTTTTTATTTAACCTTAATGTATGTATTGCGACTCAAAATTTTTTTTTAAAAAAAGAGTGCGGAGAGAAAGTGAAATAAAAATCTTGAAAAAATAAAAAAGTGCTCAAATCTTTTTTTTTCTTTAATTAAAGAAATAAAAAATAAAAACATTATAAGATAAAGGTTTTTATTGTCTTTTTACGAAAGTAGTTAAAAATTTAACATAGTTTTTTTTTTCAAATAAAAGTAAAATATAAGGTTTTATTTGGAAAAAATAATTTTAGAATATTTCATGGAAAAATGGTATACCATAAGGCGTATATGTAGAGTTTATTTATTTTTATAAAAAGCAAGACTCCAAGGTAAGATTATTTTTAGTATTACGTTAGGAACTCAAATTTGGATTTTAAATATTTAATTTTATATCTCATGATTTGAAAGATTTTAAACATTGAGAAGGTGACAGTGAGAGTTATAATTGAATTGAAATTGACAGATATCTATCTGAAAAAGAGTGATTTGAAATCTTAAAATGCCTTATAAATCCCTTGTGTAATTTCACCTAAATCCAAATATTTTTTTTGCAAAATTATTATCAAACAATGTATTTGGATTTTAGAATCCAAATTCCAATTCCTAATCAAAAGTGCGAATTTTGTAAATTTTTAGTTTAAAATTATTTTTAAAATTTATTCAATAATTAAATTTAATATATGGATAAAATTAAATGGGTAGATTATAACATGTAAAAAAATCACAACAAAATTTATATAGAAAATTTAAATGTCTCAATAAAGCGAAGGTTAAAAAATTTAAACGAGATCAATAGATTATCTTTCCTATAAAATTTATTTATCAATTTTTAGTTAAAATTCAATATTTAATATAAAAGCCACCCAAAATGCTTTTGTAAATTTTGTATGCACACATTTACATATTTTTTTCCAATTTTTATACTGTATTTGTAATTTGAAAAACTACGTTAACAGGGGTAAAATAGTAATTTAAAAATCATATGGTTGCAAAGTCGGCTAATAAAAAATGAATACAAATAAAAATATAAAACAAAGAAAAAAAAAATGGTAAAGAAAGAATTGTACTTCGAGCTTGAAACTTCAAATCAAAACCCTCCCATTCCCCAAATTATTAGTTTTTGATTCTATTAACAATCCGTACACATCTCCCTACCTATCTCTCTCTCCAATTGCGTTCTGCCCTCTCTTTCTTTCTCTCCTCTTTTCTCTTAATCCAATTAGAATTAGGATTAGAATCAGAGCTCCCTTCAATCTAATAGGCCATACTCTTTTTATCTCTTTGAATTTTCTTTTATTTTCAAACACTTTGAGAATTCTCTCCTTTGCTAATCTGAGTCTTCTGGCGGGAACTCAAACAGCTGGCGGGAAGGAACCAGCGTTTTCCTCTGGGAATTCTGGGTTTTTTTTGTTTCCATTATTTATTCTGTAATAACCCAAGGAAAGGTGAATTTTGAAGCTACACTGATGGCGAACCCACCGGGGAACCATCAACAAGAAGCGAATCACGCGTCGTCTTCTTTCAATGGAGGAAACTTGAGCAACGGGAGTACCATACCCGACAGCTCGGGGTCGGGTATGAAGCATAACCCCGGTATTGCCTTGGATTGGACCTTAGAGGAGCAAGCTATGCTCGAAGAAGGGTTAAAAAAGTGAGCCTTTTTTTTCCTATTTATGATTGCATAGAATTTTGGGTTTTTGGTGAAATTTTGTTCTGTGAATTTTGAGACTCTTTAATTTGAAGTTTGAATTTTTAAATTCAATTTTAAAATACAAGGAATGTGAATTTTCTTGTTGGATTCTTGATTGAATTGTGGTTTCTTTATTGTTCCTTGGAACTGGTTGGAAACTATACATAAGGAAATAGTCTACATCTTACTGTGTTCGAGTTTATAAATGGCGGGGAAAGAAAAAGGAAGAAATGTTTAGTAGCCAGTAATCGTGGGAACAACATATTATATCCCATCATTGATCCTTCTCAGAATTTTAATGGAGATAGAGGTTGTTTTTCTGAATGTCACTGATTATGTTTTACCTAATTATTTATTGTTTTGTTATAACCATGCTGCTGTTAACGAGCCAATTGAACTCTTTTGACATTTGAGCTGATGAACTCATTATTTAATTTCTTTTATCTTTTCTGCTTTTTGTTGGGAGTGGGATCTGCATCAATAGTGCTTGCTCTAAATCTTTTTGTATTCGGCAGGTATACAATTTCACTTCTATGGTTTGAGGTGTTATCTATATTCCCAATTTACATATCATATTTGCACTTTGAGTACTAATATGATTTGGATTGTGAAAGAGGTGTTTTAAGTGCTGTTTGAAAACCTTATGCTTGTTAATATAAACTTTTGTCATGCCAAGACACACTATGTATTTTTGCACCAAAGGTAAAATGAAGTGTTGTGCTTGAAATAACTGACCTCATAGACATCAAGCTTCTATATAGTCGAACATTTGTATCATCATTAACATTCGGATAAGTTTTGACCTTAGTTAATGTATCAAAACTTAAAGAATCACCTCTCCTCTAAACTTGGAATGCATAAGTTTTATAATCTAAAACATGACATTTTTGTGAATGGTCTTTCCACATTTTTCCAAATGGCAACCAAAAGATTATCACTAAGTTAAAACCGTACTGTTTACATCTTTCTTTGAATCTGAACTTCTAATCAAGTGCCTCACATCTCTCAAGCATATTATTTCCTCCTAAGTCTTGTTTCTGTATAATATTCAATCATTGAATTCCAATCGATATCTGACCTGCCCATAAGAATGTAATTCCATAAACTTTCATTTCTTACTCATTTTTTTTATCATAATGGAAGATTAAATTTAGTTGTGGTCGGAATCTCAAATTGGGGAATTTTCTTTGTAGTTATGGAATTTGTGTTGCAATTAATTAGGCTGATACCTTTACTACAATATCTTGGAAAATCTTTTTTAATGTTTAATATGAATATTGCAATTAAATCAAGTTAATTTTTCTTGTAATTTTTACCAGCCTCCTTGTTTTTATTTGTTTTGTTTCTTATGTTTCCTTCCTTTTTCTTTTTTCTTTGGCTTCCCTACGATTTTGCAATCTTTTCCTATGTCACTTCCACACTCCTGCTCTTTAAATACCCATTGATCTTCTTTACACGCCCTTCTTATTATTGACCTTGCTTACCTCTATCGAGATCACCCATCTTTAGATCTGTAAGAGATGGGAAAGAAAAAGATAAAGAAATTAATATTTTGTGATCATATATAGTTTTACTAATGCTTGCCATTGGTATCCTAGAGACAAAGACAAAGGCTTTTTATAGTGGGTTTTAAGGTGTCTAGAGTTTATTATATGTTGTTCTATTTGTTCCATTCTTAGTTTTGTTGTTAGTCTTTGTTGAGCTATGTGGATAAGGCCTTTCTTTAGTGTAAACCTCCTCCTTATCTGTAGATATCATACGGCTTGGTGCACTATAATGTGTTTACTTTCTTTCTTGTCAAAATAAATAAATAAATAAACAAAGGAACTTAAGGTGACTATCTTTTCAAGTAATTTGAAATGTATGGTGCACCAAAGGTATAACGGATAGCGCATGCTGTTTGGTTTCGTTATCTTATTTCAATTTTGGCCATGAATGGTGCTAACTTCTATAGTAGCACATGCTTTCTTAGCTGGCTGGTTGGTGCTATGGAAGTTCCGTGTGTCATACTGAAATGAATTATGACTTATCAATATGGAGACCCCTCTATTGAGAAAGAAAATAATAATTTTATTTAGCAAGGTTTCTTTTTTGTTTTTTTTCCCAAAACTTTTATCCTTGACAATATTAGATAAATGGTATCATAATCTTTTGGTCCAAATTGACATTGGAGAAAAAAGAACTCAAGCCTAGATCAATAAATCAGCCAACGGAGGGAAATTTATTCCTTCCTGAAAACCACAATGATAAGAGAAGAAGTAGTCAACTTATTGACTAATTTTGCTTACTTAAACAATGTCAAAGTTAGATGAGACAAAATTTTGAGATTCATCTAAAACAAAAGGAAGAGAAAATGAAGAAATCATCTAAAAAATGTTTCTTGTAATTTTAAACTCAATGTTTCTTTATAATGTGAAAGATGATGAGGTGAACAAGAACGAGCAAGAAGATCAGTTTATGAATGTATAAAAAGAAGAAGAGATTTGTTGAGATATGAGTAAGGAGGTAGCGGGCAATGCTCTTGGGCCATGTATTATAGAAGGGTAGGGTGGGAGTTGGTGGGCTATGGCTTCATATTTAATATAATAAGAAGAGAAGAAAAGATATATTAAAAAAATGCATATTCATGTGCATTTGGAAGCTTGGAACACAGGGTGAAGCCTTCAACCAATTATATTGGTGGCAAATTCTGGACCTTGTTTCTGCAAAAAAAAAAAAAAAACATTTATTGCTTAAATAACCACACTTGATGGGATATCACCTGGATGGGTGGTCCAAATGACCTGCATTTCTTGATGCGATATTGTCAAACTATGACCCAAATGCTTTCTGAATTGATGAATTCCATTCTATAGCTAGTGGGAATAGTAGCCCCCTTTTGTCATTTTGAATTTATAATTTTCTTGGACTATCAAGTAGCTGGGGTGATACAGCCACATTAGGAGCTGCTAAAATAATATTGCTATGTTTTCAAAATTTTTCATTTCCTCCTTTTTTTCATTTTTTAATGAAAGTTTCCCCTCCTTTAGAATGCATTAAGACGACCTACAGTTGCATTTCTCTCTGCAAATGAAAGTTTGTAACTGACGTACATGCTTGCTCCATGTTGAAATCTAGAGTAATTAAGAAGGTAACGAAACGCTTGTCTGTGCATTCTTGTCGTCACCTGAACAATAATTATCAAATAAATTAATTTTCTGACACATTTGACGAAGATGCGTCTTCAAATATTTCACTAACATGCATTGAGACAACTGCTGAATATCTGTAATCAAGTAGGTGGCAAAAGTCCATGGAGTTCGCTGCACGTGTTGAGGAGAGGACTGCACAGATTTGCTTCTCTCCTCCTACCTTTTGTTGCATTATAAAACTCTGATATTTGATGTGGAAAATTGAAAATGGGTTCCTTAGTTATTTATTTTTAACTATGTTCTTATAATTTCTTATGTTTCATATCTATAATCTCAATCATTTCCCTGATTGTAAGTTGTCTAGGATTAGTTAGAAATAGAATATCTGCTTGGATTTCTTCGAGCCAATTATTAGACAGAAAATCGGTGAGTGATTTAATATATTTAGATATGATTGATTTTACAATCTGGATTCATTATAATCTAATCTTTTTCCTTTTCTGTTCTGTTCTTTGCCATGAAAAAGTTAATTATGGGATCCTTATTAATTATTAAGTGCATATATATATATATACTAATTTGACCTAGTCTTTCAAACAACCATTGGCAGGAGGTACTACTGGTAAGATTGGGTATCGAAGTTTTTTGCAGGGAGGAAACAGATAAAGAGAGAATAATTCTCTCCCTCCCTCCATTCGTTTTTCTTTTCTTTTTTGGTTGATTAACTAATTACCAAATGAATCCTCTAGTAGATGGAACGTGCTATTTTTTTCCAGCACATTATTTTAGTTTTGTTATTTGATTGGTCTTTTATTTTTCTTTTTGTTTTTTATGTCAATTAACCCAGTAACTTCATTTTCTAGTTTTAATGAATTCAAGTTTTTGTGTTTGCCTTGTATTGACTTCATCCATTTTGATTTTTCACCGAGGTGTTTAAGTTTTGATGTAATGTTGGTATCTCCTTGCAGATTTGCATTAGAATCGAGCATAATTCGTTACGCAAAGATAGCTATGCAGTTGCAAAATAAGACAGTCCGAGATGTGGCTTTGCGTTGCAGATGGATGACTGTAAGCCTTACTGTTTTCATATGTCTCTATTTAAACCCATTGGTTATTGTTTACCTGAATTGTAGAATGAATAGACTCATATACATAACCATATTTAGAACATATATCACAAGTGGCTTTAAGCATGCTACTACTCAAATAAGAAAGGCTGTAAACATTGAATTGCAATTCATATTTTTGGTATCATTTCTTATTTCTATTTCCGATGATCTAGCATTTCTGCTTGGTGAAAAGGATATTTATTCTGTGTTTTCCGAGACAAATTTTGTTCATGCAGATATTATTATTATTTTTTTGATATTTGTATGATCTGGTTTATGCTTTATGCAGAAAAAGGAAAATAGCAAGAGAAGGAAGGAAGACCACAATTTGGCCAGGAAAAGTAAAGACAAAAAGGTATGGTTTACTGATTCTTTCTTTTCTGTGTGCATAGCTGTAGTAACTTTAGCAATTTGTGTTTTATTTGTTCCTTGACCATGCTTAGTTGGTTATTTCTAAGAATGCATAAAATTAGACATCGGCTACAAAGCAAGTCTCTCTCTCTATGACACTCACATACTGTCCTTTTCTATTTATCTATCTGTCTATCTCCTCTTGCACATGGGCACACTTGAAGAGATGCAAATTACTGTTTCCATTCACACTGGAAAACTCTCTTATGCAGTAAGGTAGTGGACTGAAGCTCATTGACCATAGGAAAGTTTTTGAGTTTAGCATAGTATTTTATATTTTTCATGGTAGAGATGTTGGATGGAGATTTAACTAGTACCTGCTCCTAAGCAGCTATTTCTTTGGTGGAGTTTGATGGATGAACTTAAGTTATGTGGCATGTTCATTCTCATATATGCTTGAATCTTGTTATGGGTGAATTAGGATATAACATTGTCTTTTCCATCATCTTTTCTTTGAGGCCTTTGTTTTATTGGAGCAGTCCTTTGTCTGCTGGTCAGTAGTTCTCTACTTCAACTGATTTTTAGACTTTGGAATATATTAGATTTAATAAGAAAAATTTTCTTTCAAAGTTACGTATTTGTGATAATATTTTTTTGATATGATGAGAACTAGGGCATATTTATATTTTAAACCATTCCTTGGAATCATAGATACTTAGGAATATGTTTTGCTTTTGATTTTCAGGAAAGAGTTGCTGATCCTTCAACAAAGCCTGCTCATTTTGCAGCTCAACCTAATGTTTCTCCATATGCACCCCCAATGATTCCAATGGACTATGATGATGGTATTCAGAACAAAGGTTGGATTTTATCTTTGAAGATTTTTACTCCTAATAACTCAAGGTTTAGCAATGTGCTTTGTTGCTTCTTATATGCAAGTTTTACTTCCTTAAAAATACTATCTTTTCGTCTGCATTTTTTAATTAAATTTTCTGTAATCAGTTGTTTTCTGTTTCATCAAGATATATTTGGTACAATATAAAAGAAGTTTTATTTACATCATCTTGAGGCAGAGAGACGGAGTCTTAGTGTATTATGTTTTATTACCTCACCAGTTGCATTGCGTTTTTGGTGTTTTCTTATATGCTATATTTGTTCACACTTCTTATAGCTGGCATTGAAGGTTGGTAGCTTGAGCTGTTTGTCAAAGAGGTTATAATATTTGGTTGAAAAAAAATTGTTATACTTTTGAAGGAATTCAACAGTAGGTGTTGAAGCAGTATTTCTTTCTCTTTTTTTAGCCTGCGTTTTTTTTGGCATGACTTGGTTGGTTCCCTTTTTATGTCTAGTTACCTGCTTAATAAACAAACAATTTCAAGTAAAGAAAAGAAAGGGAGAAAAGTGAGATGAAATTTTTCTGTTCTTTCCATGGATACTTTTAGCGCAGCCATGTTTTTCGCAATTCTTTGCAGAATGCAGGTTGCAGAAAAAGGGTCCAGGTCATGCTTAATAATATTACAGAAAGAATTATAAAGTAACTGCAATACTCCATTTGGTTGGTGTTTTTGCTACTTGCTTTTGAAAAATTACTGTAAAGAAAAGTAAAAGGTAAAAAGCAATATCATAATTTATTCGAAATGGGCAAATAATTAAAATGTAACATAAATTACTGCATAATTGGTCTACATAAAAGTAAAATAATGCGTTTTGTCATTTAAAAGAATTATACATTTTGTGCATGATCTTTGAAAAAGAATTTTGCTTTTATATTTAAATGGGCTTTTTGCCATTTTGCTTCCCAAAACAAAAAGCAAATAGTAAAAGCACCAACCAAGGTAGCCCAACGAATGTTTTTTCTGTTTTTGTTCTTCTGCAAATGAAGCCTGAATTTAGATTTATAGTGTCTGAAATTTGCTGAGCATGAAAACTTTTATGTTGTTTATGTTGTTATTGGAAATTTAATTGAAAGCTGCATTATGCTGTTTGACAGCCATTGGTGGTGCAACAGGAGAACTTCTGGAGCAGAATGCCCAAGCCTTCAATCAAATATCTGCAAATCTTGCAGCTTTCCAGGTGAAGTACCCATCTTCTGAATAGATCGATTGTACTTTATTCTTCTATTTATTTAGTTTGCATTTCAGTTTTCACTGTGCAAGGACTAGTATCAGATTAAGGTCCCTTAACCCTCTCTTTTGAACATCTTGATTTCTCACTTCTTTTAAATCTGGTATAAGGTATTTTCGCAAGCACATTGATTTTATGAAATCATCTGCCCTGGGGCCAAATTCCTCTTTCTCTAATACATACTCATGCCTACGCGTGAAAGCACTCAAGAAGTAGTGTAAGCTCAAAAACTATATGGTTTGATACAATCAGCTCCAGTCTTCATGTCCATTAGTTGATTCAATAACTGGTAAAACGAGGAATTATTAAAGGAATTTCTCATTATGTCTAAATTTTACGAGGTTGGACGAAATTGAAAGGAGTGCTTTATTTCTATCTGTCCAAGAGAAGTAGTGTATGCTTCAAATGTATTAATAAATAAAAGCATTTGTTATTCTACAGGTGAAAGCGGTTGCATCATTCTGAGTTCAGATTAGAATTAGTTTGTTTGGGCATTTTGTATGCTTGTTATAAAGCTACAGAAAATTATTTGTTTTGATATTAACATCATGATGGTATTGATTTTGTTCAAAGGTTAAAGGAATAAGTGTAGCATGTCTGTGGATTTAGATTTCTGTATACCCTTACCTATGCTTTAAATATTTAGAGAGTCTCTGCAGTTAATATCAGCTGTGGTTTTTTTTTTTTGAAAGTTCGTGAATTCATTAAAAACAGAGGGAACAATTGTTCCACCTCTGAAAGGAACAGCAGATTTTGTCCTGTTACACTTTCACGCAAGTACAACATACCAAAATCTACTCAAAAATCATAACGCTTCCGCTATATACATCTCAGCACTCATTGTCCCCCTAATCACCTAAGTCAAAAACCCAGATAGCCTCAAAGCACAAGAGGCCATAGCGAAAAAGAAAATAAAAGAAAGGGTCAGTATCAGCCCAGCTATACATTTTTCACATCCTTTCCCTGTAAATCCAACATGTAATATTTTAGAGTTAGCATTCTTCAGAGTGTAGCTGCAATAAAGAACGTGTAAAAGTGATGTTAATTATGACTGTCATACCAGAAAATAGCATTTCTAGCTGTTCATGTGGATTAACCAAACGTTCTGATTTGCTATTTGTTTGCTTCAGTTTTGGTGGTTCTCTAACAGAATTTGTCTCCTTTATCATTTTTCAGATACAGGAAAATATTGGTCTCCTCTGCCAAACTCGTGACAACATTTTCAAAATCATGAATGAGTAAGTTCCAGTTTTTGCTGAACCCCTTTCTATGATACTAGTATCTATTGTCACATGCATTGTGTGTGAATACTTGGTTTTTCGTTTATTTTACTAACAATTATATATAAGTTACAGATAATTCTAAAATATAAAATTGTACAAATAATTAAAATTTTGTAATATTAATTTATAGATGATTCAATACTATTAGATTAAGAAAAACATTTTTTTTACTCTTTAAAAAAAAAGAAAAGCATTTTTTAATGAAAGTCATTAAAATTAAAATTCTTATTTACACATTAATACTATTAGATTAAGAAAAGTATTTCTTAATGAAAGTTATTCAAAAGAATTAGACTTTTTATTTACAAATTGGATAAATTTTGTTAATATTTATGGCAAAAAGTATTTTTAATGATAGTCACTTGATGTAATTAGGATAATAAAAAATATTTAAAATAGCAATTTAAAAATATAATGAGTAAAAGTTTTCATCAATGCAAAATATTTTCAACATCTGTACTTTTGTACTTATTATAGATAGATAGTGATTGAAAGTTAAGTTCAATTTTAGAAAAAAAGTTGAGCTATTTAAACAATATTCCAGCTTACGCACAGTTGCAAACTGTCTTTCTTGACATGATAATTTGATTATTTAATACATTGTTTTCTCAACTGCAAGGATGTAGATGCGTGAGTGTTTGGCACCCATAGGTGCATGGTAGGCTTGGAATGCAAGTTTAATTTCATGCATTTATAATTTATTCGAAAGTATTTTTGCAGTGTTTTTTGTCTTTGTGTGTGTCTTTGAGTTTCACTGGATTATACAGTACTACAAATTAATGTTTTTCTCATCGCTTTTGTTCACCTTACTGTTATACAATTGGATAATATGCAGGTCTGCTTCTGTCTTCTGTATGCTAAATATTGTTAATGGCAGTTGAACCGTCTTGCTGGGCATAAATGTTAGTTAGTATCTGCCTCTAGGAATGTCTATCTGTTGTTTTCATCCAGGTTATAGTTGTATGGATTGTGTTGTCTCCTTTATATTCTGTTCGCTGTTGGATGGGGGAAAATTTATTATTAATGTTTTTTGAGAAGTTCCATTAGCAATTGGTTTATCTTTCTATGAATGCTTCATTCACTCCAAACCAAAAGCCATTGCATTCGACAATCCAAGTTTGTGCTGAAGTTAGTATATTTAGGCACCCTTATAATCTCTAGCATTGGAAGGTAAAATTTAGGAAACATGGGTGGTTGATAGAAAGGACTTAAAAGTACAGCAGGTGCCCTTTGTATTTATGCTTAGGATTGTTACATGTCTGTTATTTTGGTTTCCTCTCACATGGGAAGTGCCAGATTTTAGAAAAGATTAAATCACCTGACTTTACTTAATGATAATATAATGCAGTTTATTGAGATGTTTGGAAACTTCTCTTTGGGGGTTTGCTTGGTCATGGCCACTTCTCAAATCTGAGATAATTTTATATTTGCAACAATCCTGTTATCGTTGCCATTCAAATCATCCGTGTTTTTACTGAACCCATTTTGTTTTTCTTAAAATAACGTACATTGTGTATTCTCTCTTGCTCTTTCTCTCTTCGGGGTACAACAGTGTATCCTCTAGTAGTTATTATTTCATAAAAGTAATATTTCATTTTTTTTATCAATTACAAATTTGCTAATGGATTAAATTCCTGCTAATTGAGTATGGGATTGTGAAGAGGTCAACTAATTTTTGTACAACCAATTATGCTTTTGGATTCTCATTTCTTGGTTTAGCTTGAGGATTTTCGTAACTTGATTATCGTTTCATTCACTAATATAATTCTTCTATGCTTCTATTGCAGCTTGAATGACATGCCAGATATAATGAAGCAGATGCCACCACTTCCGGTGAAAGTGAATGATGAGCTAGCTAGCACCATCCTACCACGTTCAACCCATATGATGCAATCATGATGCTGCCTGCGACTCATCGAAGTCTCCTGATTAGTTTCTGCGTAACAGTGCATGGGACGAGTCTATGCTCCTGCCTCAAACCTGAACAAGAAAATAGCTGTGGATGAGGTTGACCCGCCTTTTACCATTTGAAATAAATTCTCTTCCTTCCTTGTATGTAGAGGCTTAGTAGCTTCGTGGTTCCTTTTGCTTTCTGTACTCAATAGTTTGTTTCTTAGCTGATACTGTAGGAGGTGATTTAGGGCTTGTATAGGGGGACATATACATTAGAAAAGAGTTAAAATATCAATTTTAATTCTTTGTTTCGATATAGTTTTTGCAAATTTTTCTCTGCTTTTTCTTTGTTGGGTGTTTTTCTTAGTCTACCGACGGGCGAGGCTGCGGATTGTGGACGTAGAAAGATTGTCTGGCGGGTTGGCTGACAGCATAGTGATGGGTTTGAACTTTGTACATTTGATATGTATTTTTGGGTAAATTATCACCCAGGGATCATGATCACATATGCTATGATGTCAAGAGAGATGCAAGTGCAGCCGTTTGATTTGAATAATATAGGGCGGAAGCAGCACTTTATTGACTATGAATTGTAAGTAACGAAATTTCCTTGCTGATGTCCTACATGATGCCCACCATTTGTGCAGTAAATTCTCCTCCAATGTAATTCAATACAAATTTGTCTCTCTTTATACGTTCTAGAATTGGACGCCTCTCTACGGCGTAGCCGACGTTTTTGATGGTTACCCTTTTATATTATACGGACAAAAGGCCTAAACAAATTCAAGGCAGGAAACGGAATTCAACTTTCTTTTGAAGAAACGAGTATAACTGAATCAATCCAGAGTCCTTGCACAAAACAATATAAAAATTAAATCTTCAAGGAGTGCCCGTCAGTCATTACGTTGACGTGTGATTGTGAATTATTTTGTTTGTCCCTTTTCTTATTAAATCTTTTTAAGATAATAACCCTTAAATTATCTGAATCCTTTTCTCCAAAAATTAAAATGGAAGAAGGAAGCAAATCCGTAACATTTTCGAAGTAACTGTGCGTGACGGTAGCGTCGTCATTTTGAATAAGAAATTTAACCACGTAAGCCAAACGATATGTGGAAGTATAATATTTCTCTTTGTTGTGTTTAAGCGACTTTGATGAAAACAAATAGACGAAGGAAACGTGACCTAAAGGCGGAAGCCACAAAGTTACTAAACGCTAAAAATGGAGCCTGGCTTGCTGACGAAGAATGTGACTTTAACCCACACTTGTAGGAGGGACAAACCTTTCACGCAACCGCTTGAGTTGCCTCTAAGAAGATGCCATATGTCATTATCCTAATTAATCAAACACATGGACCATCTTATAACTTCTTAATTGGCAATTATTCTATGGCTTAAGAAGTGGCTTCATTTATATAGTTTGATAACCTTTTTAAGTATATATAGCACTTGATTGCTTAAGCAAATTGCACCCCTAATATTGTCATATTTGTCATCATAGTTTGAAATGTCATGTTTTTGTTCTTAAACTTTTATTTCTTTTTTTTAAAAAAAAAAATCCTTTTCTTAATTTGATTAAAAATATTGTTAATCCGTTATAAAAATATCTATGATCATATATATAGAAGTAAGGATGTGGGTAAAATGTTCTATTGAGGAAAGCCGACATTCACTTTAATTAAACTTTGAAATTGTCATTTCAGATTGATTTTTTTTGTTTATTATAATCTATTGTTTTAATAATAAATTTTATTTTATGAATAAAAAAAGGGTTTTAATTATATTGAATTGTTATCATTAGCATAAGATTTTTAAGGTGTTGATTCTTTATATAACTCTTAACTAGTAAAATTTCATTAAAAATGTATTAAATTAGAGTTCATGAGTAATTAAATCTCAAATTGTTATCTATTGACAACTTTAATTTTAATATCATCCTAGCGTCAAATCTAAGATATGAGAAGTAAGGATTTTATTTTATTGATTTAGGCTTAGGAATTGGATATATGCTTATTTTCTTTGCATGGAAAATAAGAGGTTCTTCTGGCAGACATGGTAAATTTCTCAAATAATTTCCCTTTTTTTTTTTCCTTTCATTCATTTCAATGAATATTACTCTGCATATTTTTTATTTTGTTTCCATGATTATAATTTATCGATTATGAAATTGAAGGGATACAGCCGAGTTTAAAATTTATTATACTAAATTAATATATCAAATCAAATTGCATGTTCCTATTTAACAATACATGTCTTTGTATTGATAGATACTCGACATTAGTTATACTTTTTTTTTTCATATTTAAAATTATTTTTTATACAAATTAAAACTTTTAAAAATAAATATATTATGCTTGCAACTGTAGAAAAAATGATATTTGAGTCAAATTTTAGAAACAAAAACATAGGGAAAAATTGTGTGGTCGAATAAATTAAGATTTGGATTTTGTTGGTTTAGTTAAAACTTTAGTTAACAGATAAACAAATTACGGTGTCAAAGCCCCTTAAGTTGAATATCTGTTTATAACTCCAAGTTGCAGTATTAGGCATATGTCTTTTGTCACTTGCCCACATGATTTTTTTTGTTTCAAAATCCATAACTACAGTTTTGTCATATTCAGAGAACCGAAATTGCTCAGTTTCTTTTGGTTGTATCTTTTTGACTGTGCCTTTTTAGACAAAAACATGGAGAAAAAGAGGGTAATTTATTAATGAAGTGCGGAAGAAGAAAAGGAAAGGAAACCGTGTGCAAACCTTTGTTTCTTCTGATTTTCTTCAATTATTTGGTTTTGTTTCTTTTCTTCTTTTCCAAAATTTATGCAAATAAAGAAAAAGGAAATTGATCCCTAGTCTGCTTTGTAGCCTACCATTTTACTTTTAGCCATCACCTTGGATCCAACGAAGACAATTTGATTTATTTTTATAAGAAAGCACATATGAAGAATGACCATACTCTTGACGGAAAGGCAACCATCTTGACCTGAAACTTGGTTGTTTCTTGACTTTTACGAGACGCAGAGAGAGAGAGAGAGTGTTTTGGTTAGAATCGGATGCGTTTCAGACAAACCCACTTGAAACGAATGAATACATATATTTGGAAAGCTGAGGAGTTGTTGTAGTTTTCAGAAGTGGGTTCAGTTGAGAAACTTCAAACTTCCCTCCATCCTTTCTCTCTCTCTCTCTCTCTCTCATTCTTCACAAAGTATAGCCTTCGGCGCACATGCTTTGCTGCTTTCGTTTGAAACTTACCATGGAGATTTGATATAATAAGGAGGAAGTTTGAAATTCACAGAGGTGTTTCTGTTGATGTTTCTTGACTTGGGTTTTAGGTTTCAAATTATAGAGCGTCCAGAAACACATCATTTGGAAGAGTCTAAGCTTCTAGAGTTGTGAACTCTTAAATTTCTATACGACCCTGTTTGAGTTTATATCAGAGTTTCCAGTCAGATTAAGTTTTAGGAAAATTCAAGCTGATGTATCAAAGCAAAGATTGAAGATATATTAAAAGCTGTACCTAAAGGCAGCCATTGAAAGCATTTATTGCACAAAGTTTTCTCTCTGAAGTTTCTGTAAGTATAATTTCATTGTTAACCCATGTCTCTTGCATGCTTACTTCTCCCAATCTTCCTCTTCTTCTTCTGTTCTTAATTAATCCTTTTCCTTTCTTAGTTCTGTCCTTTAATTCTCTTATTGGTCATCGTTGCAAGTTGAAGCTAAGCTGATTCTAACGCTATCATCAAGCTACCAGATTAGGACTTTGTCGGGCTGCAAACATCTGCAAGTTGCAGTTTCCATCATACTTCTTCTTTAATATTTTTTCTGATTCTTTGAACAAAAGAAAACTGTTATTTTGTTTTTCTTCTTTGTTTCTTTTGATGTCTAGAGAGCCTAGATCATGTCGGTTAAAAAATGTTCTTTGCTTGTCGAGAAGTCATTCCTTTCAAACCAGCCTGCTTTCAGAAAAGTTTTTCAAGCCCCTTTTGACAGTCCTACACAATATAGGCAAAAAAATAATATCTTTCTCCATTTACACTTAAACTAGATACCCTTTTGCTTTGCTTTTGTTAAAGCTTATTATTATGTGCTTCAAAGTTCCCTTGTTTCCAATCCAACTCAATTTGCAAAGGAAAATCTCAACACTCAAACAAAGTAAACTCAAGCTCAATGCTCTTTCCTGTAAATTTTTGAAAGGTTATTGTGTACCTTCTTCCTTGTTTTCATATGAACTGCAATGGTTTTTTCTCAGTACTTATCCCAATAATAAATTTGAAGATAATTGCCTAAACATAAATTATCTGATCTCGATCATATAGGGGGTGCATGGGGATAGTGTCTTTGTGCCTAGCAATATTCAAACCCCTTCTGTATTAAACCCACCATGTTTGATCAGTTAGGTTCCTTTTTTACAAAGTATTAGGAACTTGTTTGCTGAGTTTCAGTCGCGTTTTAACTTGTTGGATGGGTTAGTTGTTCCATCCCTAGTGAGGTTCGTACAGTACTTGCATTTAATGAGTTAGTTACACTTTGCTAGGAAAAAACAGTAGCATTAATTATTCTTTGATCATTTGTCAAAGCATTCTGATTCCAAACTCATAAATAATCTTTTTCCTTGTTTGACAGGGTAGAAATGGGATGCCCAAATGCCACGAGACTGCTTCTGCACTCATTGTTTTCGCTGCTGATTTTAGCCTTAACCTTCACAGAAACTACCGGGCAGCTCGATTCAGCTAGTGCTTCTCTGCCAGGTTTGGCCTAAACTTCTTTTGACTTCTCTATTTCCTTTTTCCATCATTTAGAAGTCAATAGTTTTCATTATAATTAAGAAAAAAAGAAGCGAATATATTTCCTATAAAATAAAACACGTCTGTTATGCAAATTGGTTCAAATTTCAATGAAAATTAATAATATATGCTTTGAATTTTTGAGTCAAAATCGTAAAGGATGGTCCACGAACTTGGCATTTGTTTTGTCAGAAGTCAACATATATCCTTTGCCGGTAGCTAAATAAATAAATGCTATCAGTCTTGGAGGAAGCATTAAAATATAGTATAAATTATTCTCAATTTCTGGTTAATTTGATAAATAATATGGGCCAAGTCTGGTTGTATGACAAATTAGTTGGGCTAAAACACAAGTTCAATTTGGGTCTAACCTAATGATTCATCATGGGGCTAGCAGCTTGTGTACTTGTTTCAAAAACAAGACAGAAAAACTGATACGTCTATATTATTTTCGTTTTTTTTTATGTTGCATATATTGATTAGATACAAATTCAATCAATGTGTCACAACCCATGGGACATTCAGATGATACTGTGAG